ATAAAGTGTGAGTGTTTTTTTACTAATCACTTATGAACTGCATTGTCTGTATTTGTACGCAAAATTAAAATGATTGTGAATAACATACATAGTAAATAGCTTTAATGAATATGCTTTATAGACAGATAACTACTATTATTAATTCAATGAGCACACACACCGTCTGTTTAAAACACAACCGCCACTGTTATTCGTGGCAGTAGAAAGAGTACTACTTATTTTCATCAAAAAATAACTCACTGGGAAATCCTTGTATCTTTGAAAATATTTCTTTTTAGTTGTATCAAAATTAATCTAATTAGTTAGGATTAGGTTAACTCAAATAATTTATGTAGTAAAGTGAATTATTCCTAAACGAACTTATATCTAAACCAGTATGAAAAATTCTTGTCTAGTTTCCTAGACATATTACTTTATTTAACAAATAATAGACACTTTCAAAGTATCGACTAAATATCTCATTGAATAGAAATTTATCATCTCGTTCAGAAAATAATTTTATATTTCATGTAGCTATGAAAACTCATCATTTTGTTCTTTGAACTTCTCTGTTTCCGAATTTAATACGTATAACAAGAATCAAACAGTACTGTTGCGACAAAAGTTGATAGTTTAGGAGAAGCATATTTAAACACATCATAAATTGAAAGATAACGGCCGCCATTTGGTGTTATCAGCTAAGAATTATTATAATAATTCATTGTCATGAGTGAAACTTTAAGAAAATAACGTGAAGTAGATAACAATATTAAAAGAATGAAATAAAACAGAAAAATGTTATATTCTCAGTTCCCAAGCAGATATCATGAAATTGGTCAATTTTTAAAAAACGTATCTACCAAATGTATACTACAGAAACAGTAAGTATTATGGAGTACAGAATACATGTCCCATTCAATTTCTATACTCTTATTTCATGTCTCTTACAAATAAGGTAACTAATCTACCATTGGTTTAAAATCCATTGAAACATCTTTTTTTTTAAATCTAACTTATCCATCTCATAAAATGAAAATAAAATCGAGGAGGAAATAGTGTAGCAAGTATAATAATTTCCTATTCGCTAAATTCACTTTCATAAATATAACTTGGTAAATGTATGATAATATGACTATACTATACCAAAATTACAGTTCATAATGGAGATTTACTACGCAATAGAATTAAAAGTATGAAAACTTTAAAAAATTTTACGTAACACTGTGATGAACTAGTTCCTATGAGAAAGATATGCAATACGAATTAGAAATGGTACAATTATTTCATAAAGAATTCTTAAGTAATACAACGAAGAGAAATGAAGGTTAACTATGAGCATGTTTTGATTATTTCTTTGTTTACTAGTAAGAACTTTATAGTCATTTTATCTCAACACATGATATTCCTCTTTACTTAAGTTTATTCATTTGAAATTTTTGGCGATTAGTTTCATGAGAAAATTACCGATTAATTATCTTCGATCATTCCAGTATTTTATTAACTGATTGAGTCATTGTAGGGAAACATATTAACGAAATTTGTCATTGTACCATATATATTTAATGCTTTTGAAAAGCATATCAATCAATCAATCGAAATAAGGGGTCATTAGTTTGTTAGCGTTAGCTGATAGATAAATATTATAACTCGTAAGATGACTTATATAAGTCGATCACCATACATGGTTTGACAAAATAATATTGCTTCCTTGTAACTAATCAACTATTAGAAGAACTTTAATCTTATAAGAGGTTTGTCATACCCTAAATAGCTCATCAGTAGCATTTCTCAACGTGAAACTTAGTGGTAGACTTGAATGATGTTGTAGTGACTCACATTTATCACGAGAACACGACTGGTTTAATAAAAACAATTATTATTATAACCAACTGTACCAGTGCTTGTTTTAATGTGCTTTTGTTTGACTGTGCTAATGACAGCTATATTGTGCTTCCATTCTGATTCTTACACTTTGATTGTGACTTCGCGCGAATTCGGTTACGTTCTGTAACCAAGCTTGTATTCTGGCACGATCTCGGTATCCTTTCAATACCACGAGATCGCCTGCGAACATATCTCGACTTGGTCCATTAACTGTCTTCTGATATTTGGCTTCTCGGGGATTTTATGGATTTATTTGGTTACGTTCAACCTTCGCCTTCTGATCTACTTGGCACGTGTTTCTTGGTAGCGGTGTTCATAGTTAACCTCAACTCGACACCAAGCTACAATGTAATGTTAAATTGTTTTCAGTTTACTTGTTTATTTTTCACCATAGATTTTGTCTATTGAATTATACCCTGATAATTTAAATAAATCCATTTGTTTCGCCGATATTGAGAACTAACTAGAACTTGTATTCCTAATATATTTAGCTAGTTATTAGTTTCAAATGACTGAAATGTTACTTCCAGCATGTATTTTGAAAAACCAAACATTTAATAATCAATATGCAGTAAATAAGTACTTATTGAAATCTAATTTGTATCACAATTAATGAATCCATCATTATTAATTTTCGAGTTATAAGACCTATTCTCTGAAAGTGGTAACATATGAAGTAACAATGGTATGTATATACACAGAAATATTATATATCTTAGAACGTATCGTAATTCATGATACACAAAAAGAGTATTAAGAACTTAATTAATTATAATATGTTTTCACTTAAAATATCTAATGTAAACATAACGATCTGTATCACAGGAAAAAAGAGACGAGCAATAAACGCATCCACATCATTTGTGTTTCAGATAAATGATTAAAGTAGGAAGTCAACAGATTGTTTAGTAAGTGGATTTTATGATTGACTCTGTCTAATAATTAAACATGTTTGTATAGATCATGTCATCATTTCCTAAGAAATATATTCGCGTGAAAAATGACTACACAGTAAACCAATAGAATATCGCTTAATTAGTTCAACAAAGGATTACAAATATTTTTATAGAGGTTAAGATTTCCGTCTATATAAGAGTACAAGGAAAAAGTGATCTAAGAATGCGTATGATAGAATTTTTCATTTTAAACAGTTAGTTCTTAAGAATAGTTCAAACAGTACTAGAAAGCTGTTAAGTAATGAGATTCATATTATTTAGTGTCTGCAATAAGCACTTATTATCAATACTTTTGTTAAATGGCATTGCAGTCCTAGACACTTTTGGAGTCAATGTCATTTTTTAAGTCTCTTTTCCTTTACATAGTATAATTATTCAACGTAGACGATTATGAATCTACAGAAGTAAATGATCTATTGCTACAAATTATCATTAATTATTATTATGAACATCTAGACTCATGGAAATGTGGATTTAATCCGTAGTCATGACCATAGATATAAAATTTTCAAGGATTCCAAGGTAAAGCACGATACTTGACCGGTTTCCCTTGGTTGGTAACCTAAATTCAGGCCATGAATAAAGCTAACTACTTACGTTCCTTTTTCCATCAAACAAATCTTATTTGTTTGTATGAAGCAATGGTACTTTTAATGATAACTTGTTTACTACACTGACTATATCTCCAGATTATATGAACATATGAATATGCACCACATGATGTGGATGTCCACATAAGTTATCGCGTCAACATTTATTTTGTATTAACACTGTTTGCATTATCATTACATTAACATCAAATTCTGTATTCATTTAAAACACGTATCCAAAAAGTAGTTTTATGTGTAACTTGATCTTCTATTTTAAAGATAGTGTCTAACTTGTTACATATCTTGGTTGCTAACTCAACTTTACTTCATTTTTATTAAGTGAATGTTCCCATATAAAAGCCCTCACATTTTTCGAGATAATTCATTCTATTTATCCGCACAAAATAACCCAAGTGTTCCCGTTAGTGGGTTAGTTCATTCTCTCGTGAATTTCAGAAACACCTTTTACTGTGCATTACCATATTTCGTATTATTTCCACGAAGTGAAGCCAACGTTAGAATCTGCAGAACGAATATGAAGGCTTTGTTTACGGAACTTGGCGAAGTCTAATTCAAAACGGATTTAATTGGGCTTTCGATATCCATTAAGAGACAATGGCATATAAGTATCCTTTGGAGACCTGCTACCATGGGAATGAACCTTCTGAAACCCATCCACTGAAAAATGGATTAAACTATTAGGTTGACGGTAGTAATATGCGTCAATTATTTGTAACTAGACACTAGGACAATGTCAAACCACATACAAGTTATGACAGTCGTGAGCAAATAATGTGGAGGATTCCGAACACAAAGACATGTTATACATCGAATCACCCAGTTATAATCAAGTTTATTTTCAATTATGATATCAATACCCTCTAATCAGACATGGTTTCGCTTTGACCTAAATTTCCCCAAAGGCTTGTATGTCGGAAGTTTTATCCTTAATCTTAGGGTGCTAAATAGTTGCTTCCCAAAAAATATCACTGATTAGGGATCATGTTTATAGTAAATCATTTAGTGTCACTCATCGTATCAAACTAATTTTCCAATCCATTTCAATGGCATAAAATCACTTGGCACTGAATATACATATGGACATACGACAGTGGCACAGATCCACTTATTATTCATCACCTTGACATTTCTAATTTACTTCAGCTTCTTGTCAATGATAGCGCCTTAGTTCTTCTTTAGTGGCACAAAAATGTGGTAAATTGAACTAATAAACTATATGTTAGGTTCCACACTGTTGTCTCTATCTATGGTCATTTCGCAAGATACAACCTCATACTGTCTACTTCCTAAGTACTGTTAATTGGATTCTATCCAACATTTCATTTTTCGACAAGAAATCAGAGAGAACCATCTCTATGCTTCCTAAAGATATATCTGAACTCGAATTTCGTGAGTGTTTATGGAATTAAACAGGCCGTATATATAACTTCGAAATTCAAAGTTGCATTGTGCCTAATGGTGTGATCAAAGGAATCAAAACGGGCTGTCAGAACTATTAATTGTCACTAGAGTTAATGATGGATTTTGTCCCAACGTTACGTAACAGTTGATATTCTCACTTTTAAAAAAATACGACTTAAAGCAAACTGTATTTGCGCAAGAAGTTCCTTGTGAAAATAAGACAAGAGATCAGACTGAAAATTCTTTCTAATAAAAAGAACAAAGCAAGTAATAAACAACACAAGTGAAATTGAAAGCACTGTTAAACATTAAAAGAAGAATTATGAACAAGAATTTTTCAAATGTTCGGGTGTGTATCCAACACCATTGCACGATATGACTGAAGATCCATCATTCGTGGTTACTTCGAATTTAACCTGCATATAAACAAAATATATTTTGAACATTAAGTACAGAAATATAAATATGGAAAACAAATACGCCGGGATAACAAAATACAAGCTCTTAGGCAAACTGGATTATCTTAAAATAGGTACGATGATATTAATATCAGTACTTAGGAATCGAGAACTTGGATGAGGGTTTTGCAAGTCAGAAATGATGACGCAATTAGAATTTAGTCGAAACTGAAGCATTATATTTTAGTTAGCCATTCTAGAGTAGAATTGTGTTTCATCCTGTTTGAGAATAATAAACTGCTACAAGTTGTAGTAAGTATTCCCTGACCAGCAAACGAATGAAAATCTATAAAATAAGATCTATGAATAAAAATTTCTCGTGTTAATGGCAAAATTTACTTGATTAGCAATAGTTTAATTGGAATAACCACTGTTATGCTTTAAGACAGTACAACTATTAATGGCATTCTAGTCACAATAAAAAATTAAAGTAGTCACCATCAATTATTTAGATAAATGCCTGAATACCGGGGTTAAATATTGGCCAACAAACGAAAGTTACACTATTAGCCTTAAATTTGAAAGTTTTAGGCATATTATTCACAATACAGTCCCTTCTTTGAAAACTTAGAAATTTACCAGTTAATACGTATGGAGAAAACTTCACAATATCTTAAATGAAAAGTAATAGATTGACGTGATCTTTCGAAAACGATGTAGTTTATATCTATATATTAATTCAAATGTTTATTGGTGAAAGTTAACTGAAACTCACCGAACGGGCATAAAGGTGATTTTTTTGTCTAGTTCCTTTCTACTGTCAAGTAAATGGACCATAAGTTTATGGTCTGTTTGTTAAGATATCTTTATATGGCTATGGGTAAAAAAGTATATTCCACACCACATCAAGCTAATAATGCTGTATCTCGGTAAGACAGATCCAGACAGACAATTACTGGTATTGTATTCCAAGTCCAAACACCGTCCTACCTACTTCATCGTCATGAGTTCCTGAATAGTAATGCTAATTTACTCTCATTCAAAGTGTCAATCAAAATTTAGCACACAAATTTAGGCTTGGCAACGTTCGAAATTAATGTCATATTTAATTAGCCAACTGATACAAGTCATATTCATATGTGTATTATAGAAATAAAAGTACTTACAGTGAATACATATTCATCAACGAAATAAGTATTAAAAGCAAGTTTTACATAATTAATGTGCAGTACTATTAAATAACTTACACCAAGTAAGTGTTCTGCAACATATATTGCAGTCTTTGTATGTAATGTCAACGGCCCGCAACGTATTTCTGAATTTCCCTTAGCTAATGCCATAAGCATTATAAGCTAGAACAAAATAAGACAATTAAACTAATACAAACCCATCAATAATGAGAACTAATAAATTTAGCACGTTAACCTAATTCTTGAAATGAACAGCCAAGCATTTTGTGGGAAATTTTCAGATCTGATTAATTTTATTAATCAAATAGTGCACTCACAATCAAAATATCCAAAAATCACCATTTACCATTTTTATTGAACAGATTTTTCTATTTAGTTTCAGTTAGTACGTAGAGCACATAAAAATCTATTCAAGCTGCCATACCCCATTAGCACAGAGAGATAAAATTGTCAGGCCAAATCTCAGAATAGTAGAGGTAGTAGTAACAGTATCAGTTGTAATAGTAATGATTAGGCATGGAAGATACGATTCGAGAAAATATAAATTAGTAAAACAAAAAACGTTGGGGAATTTAGAATTTGGAGGAAGATAAAGAACGGATGTACCTGGGTCCCTGCAAACGGTTTCGATCCATACCACTCAGTCTCCAATCACTGGTTATGATAATCACGCGGACTCCAACCAGGTATTCCACACCTATTATCATAGCTTAATCCAACTCTCAGTGACTTCATAGACTGTTGACATGTTTTGGTTTGGCCGCCCCTAGCTTTCTTCCAGCATACTACTACGCCAGACAAAATCTCCCGTCAAGGTAGGCGAAAATTGGGCATATGAAACGCATGTCCCAGTCAAGAGTAGAATGCTGTGTTAATGTCAGAAAATACCACTACAGTTGTGCATGTGTATGTCTACTATCAGGGTTTGTTGCTCTATCTCGTTTCAAGATTACATTTACTCTTTTAAATCCTCTTAAGATCTGGTGGACTTGAGTTTTTTTGGGAACAGAAGCTAATTGAAGGGAAATTTAGTTGTAGTTAGTGTTCGGGATATCGTTCTTAACTTCTAAATTGAGTGAATAATAGCCTACTTTTTTGTGATAGTCTCACTGACACATGCATTCCATACCTGTTTTCTTGATAAGTAGGCAGAGTTGTGTAGTGTTACCTATCGACTGTCTTTCCCATCCATCTTAGTTTTGTTGTTCAATACTCCTCAATATCGTTGCATGAAATTTTCTTAGTTTATGCTTTAGTCTCTTGTTATTTATCGCTCTCAGAGACTGTCGGGATCATTTATCGGACCTTTATCGATTCAGTGAATGTCATAAGAACTTAATGATTTTTAATAACCTTTTGGTTTAAATTGTTAAGATGTTATTACTGTATTAACAGCTGCCTAGATAACTTTTTAGGCTTCTTCAAGGTAATCTGTCTCATTACGATAGACTAAGTGGTTATCCAATATTTCCTCAAACAGATCATTGACCTTTTCATCTCTGAATCGATATCTAAGTGATCCTCCTGTTGTGAGTTTCTAATGTCTACTTCGATGTATAGAAATGCGTTCCATCATTAAGGTAAGAATGGTGTTCAAGATTGAAGCCAATATTTTAGACACTATTAGCTAAACTGATTCCTCTGTGATTGTCATAAGCAGATTTTCGTCCTTTCACAGATCGAGACCAGTCAGATGAGATTATGTTCAGATTTCAGATTCTAGCTAAGATTTCAGTTAATCTGACTGCTAAAACTGGACTATCATCCTCTCAGGGGTTAGTCCATAAGGTTCTGATGCCCTCCGTCACTTTAGATCTCCTGTAGCCTTTGCAACCCTACTAAGAGTTGGAAGACATATATCAATTTGTCATTCTTATTGCTCGGAGATAGTGGGTAACTGAAGTATGGCTGAAGGCCAGTTGAACCATTCCCTAAAGTGTTCTGCTCATAGGTCCAATCTCCATGGTTAAGAGTGAATAATAATTCCATGTTTTTCCGAGATACTTTCACTAACAGACCGATTTTTAATATCGTTTCCTTGATAGATCTGAACAGTTGTCAACTGTTACCTATCGCTACTAACTTTTTCATCTCTTCTGCTTTCACTGCTCACCGCGACTCATTCAATTTGCAATGAAACAACAGGAAAAGACCGTTACACAACCGACGACTTGAAAGTAAGTAGAATCACACTAAAAATATCTCGAAGCTTTTGTTTTTTACCATACATGTTACACATACAAACTTTAACCAAATGTATCAATGATGTCAAGTGGATTTATGAATATGGCACTAGATGATAACCAACGGAGTTCATATTTGCCGTACTAGCGCCAGAGCTTCATTGTCGATTGAAATTATTGTGACCCTCTCAAAGAATAATTCACTATATAGGTATCTATGTCAAAGTTTAAATTGATAGTTTCAAAAAAAAATTGAGCATGGGGTAGAAAGTTAATAATATATATATTTTTGTTCTATCCCAATGAGTAGAAAAGTTTCGTGACTAAATGTAAGCCACTTCTTCAGAGTCAATAGATAGCCGTATTAAATTGACATAAAATATATTTATTGATAAGTTACAACAGATATAAATCCCATTATAGGAGCTCAGATATACAAATATCGAAATAATGATAAACCTATCTGAAAAACTTTATTGATAGAATGCATATTATGCACCATTAGAATCAGTATTGACTTGATGTTAGAATACATAGTCAGTAACCCTAACAGTACATAGGATATTCTGTGTTTTTATATATGGAGTTGGATTTAGGTGAGAACGAATTCGTTGTCAAAAATCAAAAAAGCGTCAGTAGTGTTAACAGAATAGATGATTCTGAAGTTTATGTATGATAAACACACCTGATCTTGCATATAATCGTCACAACATATTCCAAATTTGGAATAGTTATAAAGTGACTGACAGGCTTCTGAGACCATTTGCCTATAATGATGATCTCGAGGATTAATAATTCCAGTAACGGCCAGACGGCAATCTGTTGAAGTATGCATAACGAACCTAGTGTAGACAGACAAAATTTTACATGAATACAAAACAAATGTACCTTAACGCTTGCACATATACACATCCTATAAGGACTAACAACTTATCTTGTGCTATGTGCTGAGTACAGAAGAATCTGTTAGGACTGACCTTTCTGTTTAACTATCAGTATAGGGTTATGGAGATAGTTGTGCTGTAATTAAAATCATGAATTGATTAATGTTATACCACTACTGGGAACCTGAAAGCACTAGACAGGCGTCTTGTCCTAGTATAAAACTCATCAGAGGTACCTACGATTCTGTATATGGGACTCGAACCCAGGACTTTTGGTCTCTAGACTACTGAGTGGACATCCGACGGCGTTAATGTCTAATTTCAATCAATCTATGATATTGAGCGACCACCTCTCTGTTTAAGATCAGATATATTAACGTTAAAACCAAACTGTTTTCTGATATTCATATTGACCTTAAATGACTGAGTACCCTCCAATTTGTATCTATAAGGCGCTGTCTTGAATTCATTTGGACGAATTTGAGAAATGCATTAATAATCGGGTTTACTCTAGCGTAATATAAGTTCACATTATACTCCAGGTTGAAATCAACGATGCAACTTGCTGACGATTGCCAAATAACTTGAACCCTGGGTTTACGGTTCTCTGTTGATTACTTCCAACCACCTAACGACAAAACATAGTTCACACAATGCGGAGTAGTCAATGAGACTAGTGATCACAATGCAATCTGATCGATAGAATGCGATCAGCACTAAAAGACAAGATAAATATGACACTGGTCAGCAATCAGTGGTCGATCAATGGTGAAAGTGTCATTGTCACGGATCAGTTGCTGCTTGGGTAACTCAGTAGTAACATCTCAGACTGAGTTGGGTGACGTAGGACCAGACCTGCCGGGCAGCACAATTCTTCCAAAGACTACAGGTACATTCCGTTGACGAGTGCCAAGTAGCATGAAACTTTTAAGTAGGAATTCCTGCCAACTACCTCCAACCACACAACAACTTTGTTGAAAAATTAGTCAGTATGTTTTGAAATGATCAGATCAGCAATTTCATCGAAAATTCACCTCCAATTACTGAAAAGCACCTTTCATGTTCTTTGTTTCTATGACTAAATGAGGCACCGAAAATCAAAATTGAGGTATAATTACCAAACTGAAACTAAAGAATAAAACAACCAGATTTATAAGAAGTATTTCAGCACCAAACATGTTGGATCTATGTAGTTTACTAAAAGTGAGATATACACGATGTCTTATCCGACAGACACAATCGACACACAGCCTGGGAAAGATGTGCATTTGATCAGGTTGTTATACCTAATTAGCATGAGATGGAAATAAAGAGATTGAAATAATGTAGTAGCAATGATAGGAAGTCTAAACTTCAGGAATATAATTTGGAAAGATAGAGTAAAGAGTAAACCTGTTTGGTATGTTACTTATGTCTCTCTTTCCATGTTTAATAGACTATGTTAATTATTTATTTTGTATACTGACAGTTAATTTACGTTTTAAAAACAGTTTATCAAGCCAAATAGCTGACTTGTTTTGCTTTGGCTACGCTAGGATTCTGTGCTCGGAAGTTTAGTGAATAGTTTAGAACTGCATCTGTAGGAAATTACTTGCTACATGTACATTGATCCAAGTTGCCATACCCCATTAGCACAGAGAGATAAAATTGTCAGGCCAAATCTCAGAATAGTAGAGGTAGTAGTAACAGTATCAGTTGTAATAGTAATGATTAGGCATGGAAGATACGATTCGAGAAAATATAAATTAGTAAAACAAAAAACGTTGGGGAATTTAGAATTTGGAGGAAGATAAAGAACGGATGTACCTGGGTCCCTGCAAACGGTTTCGATCCATACCACTCAGTCTCCAATCACTGGTTATGATAATCACGCGGACTCCAACCAGGTATTCCACACCTATTATCATAGCTTAATCCAACTCTCAGTGACTTCATAGACTGTTGACATGTTTTGGTTTGGCCGCCCCTAGCTTTCTTCCGGAAGAGATCATGAAGTTTCCTGTAAAACTTGTCATTTACTCAACCTGAGCTGCATTTAGTAGAGGCATGAACAGAAACGACGGAAAGGTGTCGAAACCTTTCTCAATTTCTAATGCACAATTGAGACGGACAACACAAGAGACTTTTGACAGTAATCTAGTCGAGGAGCGCCTATCCTGTCTTCATACTTGGTGCTATACCTACAGAGACATGACCAAGACAAGTCGGTCGCGTCTCCAGATACACGAAAGGTAAGATTCGGTGGATCATTATGTCGACTAATTAAGGTTGAGTGAATGAACATGCTGGGATTCCGTATACATGCTTCTAGAACACGGTATATATTAATAGCACGAGAGTCTACAGTCATGGTTAGTGACTTTAGTTGTCCAATTCAATACAAGTTTCAGGCATTACAAGCTCTTGTACATAATTTGAGACGAAGTTTCAGGAGACCAGTGATAACATTTTGTGACAGTTAGTATTGGTAGCGCATGTTGAAGTCGAAGACATGAAGGTTGATAGTAGAAGCAGGGGCAATATTTGATAATGGGGTTTGATCATAAACGAGGTGATCTTGTGAGTTGTCAGAGTTCACACTGGAATTGTAACTATCATATCCAATAAGCATCATTAACATAAAGCTTGTGAACATGTTATTGTTGCTCTTACTAACATTAACATGGAAACAACAATATTACTATGTATTCACAATAGGTAGGAAACATAAGTAATAATAGAATTATTAAAAATGAATGTCTAGCAAATTACACAAAATAAAAAATTTAGTGACGCACATAAATGCCGCAACGTTGCCCTTACAACGATCACTGCTTTCTTGGAATGAATCAATATTTATAGGACATGAGAAACATTTGCTGAGACAACGCAACGCCTCATCTTTCACTTCATGAGCAACCTAAATTAATAAGATCGAAAACAAAAATAGTTCAAAGAATGCTGTATCAAGATACAGTCAAACTCCGTAAGATCAATTTTATTGAGTAAATAACGTCAGAATATTTTAATGCACAGCTTTCATGTGGTCTGGAAAAGTAAACGCTATTTTGCAGTAAAAATTACATTACTAACACTGCTACTAAGTACTTATGCAAATGTAGTGGAACGTTTTGGGAAGACGAACACCTAAACACTTTAAGTTACGCACCTGATTTCACGTTAAAAAGACGTAAAATGGTGACGATTTAAATGGCATACCTTGGGCATTTAAACGAACAAGTAATCCTGTAAACTGGTCTCAAACTATAAATCGACTTGTTATGCGAAAAGGATTTTCAAGGAGTGACAAATGAACTAATATGTGCTACACATTCAATGTATTATTTGATGAACTATGCAAAGTCTGCGCACACGAATAACAACACTTATAAAAATACAAACAACCACTACTACGTGGACGACTGTCACTAGCAGTAGATCTCCAGGTCACGTTACAATGCTAGATGAGAATTCTAGGTAATTTATAGTCACCATGAAACCTATATGGGTCAGAGATTAAATACAAGTTTTAGAAATCATTAGTTGTCACCAAACACAAGTAATACACCACAAACTATTATCTAGGGGATCACGGACTACCCACAGGGTTGTTATTACGGTTATTACAGATATTACGCGGAATATTTAAAATGCATATTTCAAATGAACAAAAATTAACCACACACGTACCAAACAGGCCATTTTGAAAGTGAAAACTAAGTTATTTTAGGTTTTTTAACAACAACAAGTGACATTACCTTTAGTGGAACTCTTCCTGCAACAAGAGAATAACCACTGACTTTCTCAACGGTTCCTGAATTTAACAAAGAAATGGGAGAAAGTGGCTCTTTTAAAGGTGAAATCAGTACTTTGACAACCCCTCCACCTAATGGATGAAACCCTCTGCCTTCATAATCAACGATTAATAAGCACTCACCGTCGAACGACTTTTACCTCACAAACCAAACCCATTTTTCTAAAGTAATGTGATGTTACCTGACAAACTTTAGTCTTTGTATTTTTATAAGTTACCTCAATCATATAGTTGATCGGAGGTGCAAACAATGTATCTGTACCACCACGCAACAACAGTTCACTCTGATTGGAAGCAAACGCTAACACTGGCGCTACAGCTTGTAGCATCAGTGAGACTGACCTTACATAAAGCTTGTGAATAGTTTTACTGACATACCCTGCCGTCTTAGCATCAGCTTCATACGAACCGGGAGAAATCTGACCAGGTATTAACCGAATTTCCGTAGATCCAACTGCACACGACGATAAATGACCACAACACACTCTACTAGCGAGTTCGAGAGCAGCTGCGTGTTGACTTCTGGGAACGAAATCTACCAATAACAAAAATAACCACCTGAGACCTGGATTCTGTCGACCAGCTCGAATATTACACACCTCGATGGGTCTTTTCGTTATCACTGCTATCGAGACAGCGTTACGCAGGATTTGACCGCCCTATGCGAACATGATTTTCAAACTTTAAATGTACATACACTCTCCAACACAGACCCATCAACCAAGGTTACATGGGAGCTATCCAAATCACCCATCACACTTGAAAACAAACCTATGAATTTCGGTCTTAAGCACTTTGCGTCTAGAATGACGGCACTTTGTGTGTTGGAGAATAGTGTAGACCAGCGTGTGTGAGGAAAGCTGAAAAAAGAAGAAGTAAGCCGAAGGATCTGGGCGCAAATAGCATGCACCTACATTTAGGAATGGAAGCAGTTAGTAGAAGTCAGTAACAACAACTACAACAACCCGATATACACGCGCCGTAGCATTAGATTTCGAATTCGTAGGAAACTAATATTTTGTACGCTACTCGAGCAACAAGAATTCCGATATTAATCTGAAAAAAAGAATAAAGCCCTCTTAAATTCAAGATTATAAGAGAAAATTACCAAAGGTGTGTTAAATTAAGCGAAAAAATATACACTAAAACGGCGAAAAACCTCGTGGAGACGGCTAGGAGTTATCGAACAGATATATTTTGCATTCAATAAACACCGAAAATATATTGTTTTGTTAGTCTTCGACATTCGATATTGACCTCATCAGTTTTACTGAACACGTTTAGCTGAAGGCACTGGGTTACACATCCGAATTAAATCACGTCGGGTTCACCAAAGAAGATGGCACAGGTATCAGTGTTTGACAACGCTTTTACCAGTAACACCTAATATAACTCGTACCCACCAAGAGAAATCAAAAGATAGAATCGAGGAGATCGGAAGAGTATATTTGGCGATAACCAAAATATCGGAATTCTCTGATCTAATCTGGCTAGTGATTGCGGTAGATGTTGAGCACAGCGTTACCACACGTGATCTGGTGCGGATGCATGACCGAGCGCTTTCAGCTAGATGAGTCCACTAAAATATATGGTCAGCATCCAATGTCGAAAACTTACAGAGCTATTCATTTTGGGGATTTATTTACCGCTACACCGTACTACGCATCTCTTGCGATCGTTAGCCAGCTTAGTTAAACGCTTCCCGATATATCGATATCCTTTCAATTATACATTCGAACCTTTTAATTCTGGACTTCCGAATCGAATGTGTTGGCACAGTTTTATCATAAAGGTGTTACCTGTAAAGATTGTGTCAAACTCCGAATGTCTGTTGCATCCTTAGTATATTTGACATCGTCACGTCGACGAAGTGTAGCGTAGACCAAAGTCACTTAATTTATTCCTCTCATTTGGTTGACGACTTATGCTTGCTACGTATTGGTTTCATTAGAGAATCTATCGGAGTTGTAACGCACGGTATGTTTGCACATTTCGTCCTCCATGTACGGGAGCATTACTATGGACAATTTCTTATCAGGTTGAAATGGTATTGTAGTTCCTGAAAGCTTTAGGTTAGTCGCAGTGTTTTGGTGAATAATACCAATGAAGTCCTAAGTCCTTTTTTGCTTATTTATTGTTACTTTAGTTACATATTTGTACTTAATAGGTTGCAGTTTTTAATGAGGAAGCAATGTATTTTGTCATTTATGGTTAATTCGTATTCACTTATAGTTGATTTATGTAATATCTAAGATTAATTACGCATATTTATCTCTCTTAAGCAAGAGGCCTACCTAGATGAAAAGATAACCAGGATACTTAGGAGAAGTATACTTGACTTTTGGAGGACTGAGTCTGTTCAGTTAAACAATAGTCAATGACGAAAGTCGTGAGCCATAAATGTCTATCGAATTGGGTTGTTTGATTCGTAGGGGTAAACAAACCTCCCAAAATAAATAGTTCTGTAAGTCTTCGACGCTGATGCTAACTTGAATAATTTTACCAGACATACCTTCGCTGAAGGCGCTCCGTCATTCATCCGTACCAGATCACGAGTAGGTACTGCGCGTCTTTGACAACTACCAGCCAGTCAAGAACAAACACTTCCCAACATACGGACAACCTAAGAAATACATCTTCTAACCCATTTATCCATGACTTCTGATTTCACTGGGTTGATATCCCTCAACCATAAAGGTGTTACGGACATACCCACTGTTGGACCCCGAATATCTATAATTTTTTTAATTTTTGGCCTTCTCTTGTCGGCTTAAGCTTGCAGACAAGAAGCAAGACAGTTTCAGGACATGTAGTATAAATAGCACCCGGTGCCATGTGCAGCCTGTACAGTACGAAAATATAAGAAGGACATGTTCATGCTGAATAATATCACTCATTATTCTCGCTCACCCTAAGGTGTCAGTTCTTTATCTTACTACCAAATCACACCTGCGAGAACATACGTTTGGCACAGAAGACGAACGAGACTTGACAAATGCCAGGAAAATTGTCTTGTGGCCGGCATCGCTAAATTATGGAACTTCTTACCAGAGGCGGTAGTAACGACACCTTCTACAGAGTCCAAAAAAGCTTGTTAGATTAAGGTCCAGGTCGGTATTAGTGAACTTATTCATGCTACTAGAATAAAAAACCTTGTGGAAAATTCTGGACTTACAATGATGTGAATACACAGTCTATCAGATTTTACGTGCGAGTCACATCATTCTCTATACCAGCTCACCCTATCAAATAGTCCGCAACAAATAGTCTGCTAATTTTATCTAGCAAATTTCAAAAGTTTGTTATGTAGTGCCTTCGCAGATGGATTAATGGAACACATCTGATAAAAGAATATGTGAACGGACGTCATACAAGTGAGCCACAATTTATGTCAATGAATATTCTTTCTAGTGTTCTTTGGAATTGTGCTTCACTGCAATATGAGAGCTATTAACTGCTGACAATCACTTGATCAACATAGTGCCGAGGGACATAAACTATAAAGTAATAATTAATCGACCATAACGAACCTCATTTGAGGTTATTTTATTACTCCCCAACACAAGAATGAAGAGTCTAAACGACAATACAGTACGAATGTTAAATTGATATTCCTCTATCATTTAAAGTTTCAGTGGCGGAAATAATATTTTTGATTTCTTTTCAACTCACTATTGTTAACTGTTATAATAAAATCACGATATAACTACGATCATTCAATATATAAGCAGCCCCATAGTATCTAGTCCATATTTAATAAGTTATACTTACAGCTGGTAAAGAAGCTGCTTACCCTCGTTTTAGAACTTCCTCATGCCAGCTGGTAGGCTGCATTAGACATAGATAATCTACCTGAACCCCAACTACTAACCACTTGTTCTAAGAGGCATAAGAGAGGTAAGGCGCATAAGTAGAGTTAGGTAAGAATTAGTTACTGCTTTTCTAATTCGTGACACAGACTCGGTGCAATATGTACACTAAAAACGAGGCACAATGACAAAACTTAGTGTGAAGCGTGATTACTTGTATACCTTCAAAACAAGCATGAACTTTCTTGGTAGTAATCCCTCAAAGGGTCCAAAAGTTCATTTCTACTCAAGAATACATTTTTACTTCCATCTTAGAATGTTGAATAAAATAACCATGAATTGGGCAAGCAGTTTGAGACCGAAATTTTAAATGTTCAAGATATTTATGAAAGTGACCCGGAAATACAATCAAATTTAGTCTGATGGTAAGGTTAATAGATGGAGATTATAAATAACCTAAAGGATAAGTGCATTTCATTGACTAAGAAACGGGTCAATTTCCTAAAGATTAGAGTGATATATATATATATATATATATATATATATATGAGTATTTGTGCATTCTGTTCGGTAACCCAACTTCGGTTAATAGGTTATTTTGGTGAAATCCTCAAGACTTTTGAAAAAACGTTTTTTCTTCCCGAATATCTTCAAAAAATTTACCCAGAACTTTCGAGAACCTTGAAGAAATCCATCTATGTTCTTTGACTAAACCCTAGTAGTTTTTCACATTTCGGGAACATTACTCATAACTTTCTAAAAGATCATGGAAACCCAATTACGTTCTTCGGGAAAACCTCAACATTACCCATTTAGCAGGAAAGCATATGAACTCAAACCAATTGGTCTTGTAGAACTATGGTCTACTACGATATTAGTACTGCTCTAATAATAGACCTAATCCTAAATTTGTAGATTCGTCATGATATAACTGCCTAATCTATAAGATCTTACGTGGAAGTCACACCATCGACTACGCCAACTCACTGTATCGTATCAATTACCAATACATGATGAAGAACAAGGTTAGTTTAGAGAAGGAACAATATATTTAATATGAATAGAGACCACGCCTGCATGGCCGAGCCATGCCACTCGATCAACTCCAGTCCATTCAATTCATTCTCCGCGCCTTCTCCATTGTTAGGTATTTCCCCGAGTTAAATATTGAATATCTATTTTCTGAGTAGTCTCGTGTTCACAGCTTTGTAGATTGTGTGGCTATTGTCCAATGCCACTACACTACTCTCCCACCAGAATCAACGTGATGTTGGTTCGATACCAAATTGGATGGGATCGTCGCGCGCCGGAGGTTACCAAGGATAATAAAGATCCTCCGGGTATTGATAAGCTGAAAGATAAATCAAAAAGAAGGCAGTATCTGGTCGGAAAATACATGTAATAATCTTAAAATATCTGCTTTCATGATTAACACGCTTAAAATGAAAATTTGGTTGAAGATTATTTGAACTATAAAAAATGGGATTACAATAATAATAATAATAAAACGATGCGTGTTAATAAATTAACTTATAGGCAGTAATTACTTTGTGTTTAGAAATATTAAAATAATGAATATTGTAGAAATGTTAATATTGGTATTAGTTTTGGTTTAAATTATGAAATCGGATAACGATTATGCCGGTATGTTGTCCATAAGAGTTGATTTCCAATTGCATCTGTATCAGTAGGCTAACTGAAGGAACAAAAGTATTACCATGGTAAAGAATTCCAACTAGTGTTCCAGTTAGTTTGATACTGTTTATTTAGTTACGGGGAGATTTTCTCAACCTCATTTTTACTTGACCGTGATAGAATTTGGTAATACTACTAATACACATGAATGGTTACCAAAATAAAATCTAAATACGTGAGTGATGATTATATGAGTTTTGGACAGATAGCTAAGAACAAATCGTTAAACATGAGCGTATTCGTAAGAGACATGCTCTAGACTCAATGTTCTGATCTGTGGCAGACTATTTATTTGTATTTATACTTGCCGGCTGATTGGACATACAAGTTAGTTGCAAGTATGCAGTTTATCATAA